CATTTCTTTAAATGTCTTTCAGCCATTTGTGAGTCTTGTTTTGTGAATTCTCTGTTTAGCTCTTTAGCCCATTTTTTAATTGGACTGTTCAGTATTTTGATGTCTAGTTTCTTGAGTTCTTTATATACTGTGGAGATCAATCCTCAGCCAACAGAATGGGAAAAGATCTTCACCAACCCCACATCTGACAGAGGATTGATCTCCACAGTATATAAAGACAGTTACTTTTTAAACCCTACAATATCCATGTCTGTAATTGTAAATGAGATGAATATTTAACTGGGACTCCTAGAATATTAGTGGATTTTTATACCCCACCTTATTCAAGTTGTTCTTTGTCTGTATGCTATCTAGATTTTTGTTAACTTGACACAAGCTAGGGTCATTTAGGAAGAGAAAACCTCAACTGAGTAAATTCCTGCACATTGGTTTGTAGGCAAGTCTGTGGGGCCATTTTCTTGACTCAAAGTTAAAAAAAATTAATGCATAACCTTTGAATTAAGGCTCACTCCAAACTTCTGGATACAGTAGTTTCTAGATACATCTAGTCTTTGTCAGAATGGCCTCTAGTCCAATTCCCAATAGAGTCCTTACTCCCCTCCATGCCTGGTGGGTCCAGTCCTCACCCTCCACAGTTCTAGAGGCATTCTGACATTCCAACCTCCCCCCCACACCAGAATGGGCATTAACTTCTGCTTCCAGTATCCTAAGGGCATCTCTGTCTTTCAGATGTCATCCTGGCATCCACATCAGAGCATTAGGGCTTGAAAGGTCCTTGGACCTGAACTACTTTGATGCCATCACTCTAAAGATAACTAACCCAAGACTGAGGTGAACACTGTGCTTACCTAAGGTCACTGATGAGCATCTTGTAGACTGGGAGCTGGTTTAGAACCATAGTCTCTCCTTCCCACTGCATTATCCTTTGCATGAAGCTGTCTAACTTCTCTGAGGCTAAATGAAATACGAGAAATGGAAAAAGGCATGATATTTGCCAAGTTTATGTAATCCTCTAATTGTTCTATTTGACTGGGAGATTGACCATTAGAGAATAAGGTCATGTAAATTATGCTGCACTTTTACAACACAAAATAAAATGATTTTTCTTTTCTGGATGCAAGACTGCTTGAGGCCACAGAGGTTATTCACGCTCAGTCAGCTTCGAGGGTTTTATTCTCCTTAACAAAGTTGTTTCAAAAGCAGATGAATAGTGATGGATGTTGGCTCCCTTCTCTCATGTTAGGTAATTGATATTTATTATAAAACTAAACAGAAACATGCAAGATTTGTGAAAGAATATCAACAACTTCTAGTTCAATATTCAATTTTTTGTAGATCATCTCCTCCAATCATACTTGTCATGTGTATTGTGATCATTGTCATAGTCCTCTGCAATTTCCATTATAACTATCCTGTCTTTTCCATGTCAAGTCCCGGGAAGGAGCTTTCAGCTGGACATGAGGCTTTAGAGCTGCTCTACCAATCAGAATGGTCATGATCTCCTTCACTTGCACAAACCTGGGTGTTGTGCCACAGATTAGCATCTAGGAGCTAGTTCTGCTTTGAAGACTTCTGCTGTTCCCTGCTGCACTTCCTCTCTGGAGTTTAAAAGTTCAAGTATAGAATCAAGAAACAATTTAAACCACTGGTTCTTATTGAAGCTGACTGATGCCAACTGCAACATCTGGGATGCGACCTTAGCATTTCCTATTGACATCAAGTACAACATAAGGCTCCTAGTTGTCTCTGACAGCGCCTATGTTTTCTCATTCCCTGGATTTTCATCCTCTTTGATCTTTTCACAGTAAATTGATAGGCTGT